TGAAAATTAAATTTTGAAACGTCAATATTTTCAGAAAAATAAACTAAACAAAATGGTTATCTTTAGTTTTTTTGGAAATAATTAAATAAAAAATATATTTTTTAAATTTTTTACAAAAAAACATTCAACTAAATTAAAAAATGTAATAATTGAAGTTGTTATTCCTGTGAATCTTATTATAAAACCAGARTTTTGATATCACCATTATTTCGGGAGATATCGCAATGGGTAAATTACTAAATATTCTCACGGGACACCCTGTATATAAACAACCATCATAATAATTCATTGCGTTCAAATGTACTGTACTATAAAGTTGTATTGCTGTTAATAATAACATGGAATATAACAGACTTGTTACAGTATAAATATAATAACAATAATACAAATATTAATAATGATAAAGACAAAARTGTACTCAATGTTGGAAAATTTGACTTAATATCAGAAAAAATGTATAAACTTATATTTTAGAATTTTGATACAAGATATGTTAACTTTTAACTATAGTTTTTATRGGTACCTACTTACATTTATTGATAATATTAATACAACACCTACCAACGTTAAAAACAATGTATTATAAAAACTGAAATTGTTTAAACATAGATTTATTACAAAATGTATAGGTACTTAACAATCTATTTTAATTAGTTTTATAAATATACATAGTATAGGTATTATTATATTATGTTTCATCCTAACTACTAGCGGGTATAATGCGTTTAATTATTAACGCTCCAAATTTTCTTTTAACTCAGTTGTGTTAAAAGTGATATTATTATCTTTATTAACGATGCCATAAATTTTGACGTGAGCTGAAGGAGCAGCCTTTGAAAGTTTTCCCTCCACAACTTCTGCGTCTATGTTGCTTATTGTTTCACCACCATACGACGGTCTATTATTAATAACAACATGATTATATATTTTTATATTCCAATGAAATCTTAGTATGAAATCTCTAATTCATTTTATTGATCTTCGGAAAAAAATATATATTTAATGAGAAAAGGGTGAACCGAGATTAGGGTCAGATTTCCGACTGATGGGTTTTTGCGGTCAGTTTTTGGTGTGCAGCCAACGGTCCGAGGCAGATGGACGGACGGACAGCAAGACAGACGAACAGACTCTGACATTAATTTTCTATAGACACGCGCACAAAACCGAGCCTCTCACCCCCCATGCAAATGCCTCTACCATAGACTGGCTTTGCTCCGATCTGTAATCCAAATAGCTTCAAAGAGTCCGATTTTCGTATACTGGAAACGATATTTTATCGAATGGACTCGGTCGTATACTCGTAAGGTTGTCTAGCTAAAACGCATATAATAGTAGTTAGATACATATTATGTCCATTGGCCAGAGGGTTTTTATTTCTCTTAAAAATCATTCCACTATTTCTCTTTTCCTCYTCATCTAGTTATTTATGGATAAATATATCAYTCGGACGTTTTTGATTAGTAAATATGGTTCTTGCTGGCGGGTCCGTGGACAGCAGATTTAGCTTTCGTACMATCGCCATATTATATTCATGACTCTTTTTTTAATTCACATACGTATTTCTGCATGACTTCACAATTGCTTTTCGGGGAACTGATAATGTTTAATGACAACGCACTGACGCACAACGAACTCTTCGAAAGCGGTAAAAAATATTACATGGGCACTGAATAAATTTCAACCAATATATATTTGTGAGTTAGCTCAGATGTCACCACAGTTTTGTT